GGGGGGAGGGAAGGATGGAGAGGGGTGCGGATCGGTCGGGAGCAGCGGAAGGCTCCGAGACAACTTCGGCCCTAGAAAGGGGAGGAGACGGGGGAGGGGGGGGCCAGTAGCCGCCCTGGGTTCCCAAATGCCTTCGCTCTTGGCGGACCCGGTACCAAGGGGGCGGAGCGCAGGTGTGCGGGGCGGAGAGCTAGAGCCTCGCGCGCGTGACTGCGCTGCCCCCTCCTCCCCTAAGAGGGGGGGAAATGCGACTCCGAGCCCTGGTCCGGGTGGGGAGGACGGGCAGTCTGGCAAAGGTGCACTCCACAGCTTTATCCAGCACGCTTGGCCCAGTTCCTGCCCTCAGATGCGCCGCCCGGGTGCATAGTCAGGAATCTTCCCAGCCGACTAGGGAAAGCCGGCTTTCTGCATCCGAGATGGACGGCGTAGCTGGTTTTCCGGAGCCTCCTAGAGAAGTGACCACGACCCGTTTGGAGCAGATGGCTGGAAGGGCTGGCTCGGTTTCCCGAGGATTTGACCTTAGTCCTGGAGCAAATGGCCCTTGCATCCTAGGACCGACGCTGCCAATCCCCAAACCTAGCCGGGACGCCTAACGCCCCAGACCTGGAAGGTTTAAGCTGGGCGAGAGGCGGAACTCCGCAAGGGGCGTGTCTTGGGCGTGGTGCGGGAGGCGGGCCCCCGGCCTGTGGGTTCCGCAGGTTCCGCACAGACCGGCTGCGTGCTTACGCAGCACGCACCGCCGGGGGAGGGGCAGGCCACCGGGCGGGCGGCGGAGGCGCGGGGCCTGGTCCCGCAGGCACCATGGCCAAGACCGTGGCCTATTTCTACGACCCGGACGTGGGCAACTTCCACTACGGTGAGGGGACAAGATTGTACGCGAGGGGTTTTGGAACGCGGAGGTTTCGAGGCGCGGGCTCCAACTCCAGGGATGGGAACTAACGAACTGACGAACTCTCTTACCTCTAGGGGCCGGGCACCCCATGAAGCCCCATCGCTTGGCATTGACCCACAGTCTGGTCCTGCACTACGGTCTTTATAAGAAGATGATCGTGAGTTCTGCTCCCTCTCCTGGGGGTTGGGAGCGTGGGGGCAAACTGCGGCCTTACGGATAGTCAGGCTGCACCAAGTGTGACCTACCCCTGGGGTGGTGGGGAGCCAGATAGAATCAGGAGCACCCTAAATAGTGTAGCGTGTTGGCAGGTGCTTCTACAGACTTACTGGGGTTTTTTTCACCTCAGGAAAACCACCGCTTGACCTTAGGTGGACCAAGCTGTCGCTTAGTCCTGAGGTGGTGTGTGAGCCGGTTTAGAGAGAGTAGGTCTTTTCTTCCTCTGCGTCTCAGGATGTGAGCAGTACTGAAACCTTAGAGAAGGGATAGAGTCTGGGTCATTTTATCTGGAGGTGAGTTTACATTCAATTCAAACCCTCATTTCTCTCCACCTCCAGGAAACTAGACCTTAAGGGAGGACTCCATGTTGTGCATGTGAGAATTTGTAAATTTCTATGTATATGGTGGGAGGAGAACAGATGTCCTGGCTATTCCCTTTCAGTAGAATATCTCTACACACTTATACTTAATAACAACCAAACTCTCACCCAGAGATGCAGAGTGCCAGTCCCTAGCTTGTCGTTTATAGCTGTGATATGTGTTTAAGACAGTTAAGCTCAGCCCTCTTTGTGTGTTGCGAGGGGAGTTAGTAAACAGTATAAACGAGTGTTCATTACTTGTGCTAAAGCACAAACACAGGAATTGGTTATAGAAAACACTAATGATGATGTAAGGGTTAGTTTGTGAATCACTTAAAATCATTTTCCAGTACACACCTGTTTGCATTTTCTGGAGAGAGAAAATCTTTTATGTTCCTGCCCAATCTCTAAAGATAATACTCTTCAAAAGAGAATAAATCTGATTTAACACGTTGACCCCTTTGGTCTTAATTAGAAGGTTGTTGTATATTCCATGTCATTGGACTCCAAAATTAAGGCAAGCTTTGAGAAGAGAGAGAGATCAGAACCCTGTGAACACAATGACTATGGTAAGAATCAAGAATGGGAGATATAGGAACAGGCAGGTGGATCAGGTCTCAAAGGTGAGAGGGTAAAAAAGGTTGTCCTGGAGGTGAGAAGGAGAAGGTAAGACCATTGGTCTTTAGGAATAATAATAACACACCTCGTTATAATAAAATACATAAAAGTGACAATAATATATACAATAAGTATGTACAATTAAAATAATAGGTAATAAATATAAATATAGTAATAGTATATAATTAGTGTTGCTCTTTTTCACTGACTCTTGCTTCATAGACTAACTAGGACTGGGGGTATGGTGAGGTGTCTGAGTCAGTGCTCAGCACTGGGTTCAGTATGGGTAATCTTGGCCTCATGAGTGGGATTGATCCTGCCTGTGTTTCCATCCTGAGGTCTTCAAGCCATATCAGGCTTCCCAGCATGACATGTGCCGCTTCCACTCCGAGGACTACATTGACTTCCTGCAAAGAGTCAGCCCTACCAATATGCAAGGCTTCACCAAGAGCCTAAATGCCTTCAACGTGGGCGATGACTGGTGAGGGGAGGCCTGGGCTTCTGATGGCAGGCACTTTAATGTCAGACATTTCAGGGGGAGTATCTGAATGTGGTCTTGTGGCGTTATGAAGCGGGGTGGGGGGGGGACTACTTGTCAATGAATAATCATTTACTCATTTGTTTAGTCAACAGATATTTATTGGTTATTTGTTGTGCTAAGTGCTAGGGATGCAGTGATAACAACCACAACATGTTAGTATTAAGTTGTTAAGTCCTATGAAGGAGAGGTACATGACACAAGAGTTTGAATTTGGGAGAATAATCCATCTTGGGAGTGGGCTGCTAGAAGCTTCCTGGAGGAAGTGATAAACACTGAGCTAAAAAAAATATTGAGCTGAGATCTGGAAAAGGAGTAGGACGTAATTAGGTAAAAGGTGGTTGGGAGGATAGGGGCCCTGGGAGGAATGTAGTGGGTAGCTGGGACATTATGTACTAAGCATTCCTGGTAGATAGAGTATGATTCATTTGAGAAATAGAATAAAAGCTGACTGCAGAATATGAATAGAAGAGTGATCTGAATCAAGGTCAAAGTGATAGGCAGGGCCTTTCAAATATAAATGAGCCTTACCCCTAGAATAGAGGGAAATAAAGGTGTCTTTAAAAGCACGAGTTGGGTGTGCAGCACTGCAAGCTAGCCACAGCCGCTTCAGTGCATATTTGATCTGCCCCAGAGGTGATCCACATGGTGCAGCAGACCTCTCCTGTCTCCCTCGCTGCTCCCCTCAGCACTGTACTTCATTGATCTCCCTATTCTGCTCCCTACTCTGTCTCTGGTGAATCCTCTCACTGCACCTCTGGGTTGTACCCCAGTTCTATGCATAAATAAACAAATCTTTAAAATAAATAAAAGAGGAGACTGATTTGACGTGATTATCTCAAATCATACAAAGAAGACTCAGGCTTAGCCCCTGGGGAGAGAGGTGACTACAAGACAAGCCCCCAGCCTTCTTATATTCTAGGTGTTAATATTGTAATCATCACAACTACTATTTACTCAGTTTTACGTTTTTGATTAGAGAAAATTTCAGACATTTCTGAAGGTAGAATAGTATAGTGGTCTCTTATATATCTATCAGCCAATTGTAGCACTTAAAAGCATTTCATACTGGCCCATACATACTGCATTCTTCCACATTTAATTATTTTAAAACAAATCTCAGAATGATCATCCTTTTAGCTGTAAGTAGTTTGTGATATACTTCCAAATGATACTTTTTTTAAAAAAAAGGTACTATCATTATCACACCTAAAAAAAAGAACAATAATTCCTTATATCATTAAATATGAAATGAGCATTTGAGTTTCTCCAGTTGTCTCTTTTTTTTTTTTGCACTTGATTTATTTAAATTGGGATCTAAACAAGGTCTGCACATTGCATTTGGTTGAAATATCTCTTAAGATATTTAATCTGTAACATGTCCTCCCTTCTTGAAGAAGGCAATTAATTGATCTTACAAGGTTTCCTACAATGGTGGCCATTTGTTAAGTGCTTACTCTGCTATCCTGAAGATGTATTGGTATATCTACGTCATTCTCACACCAAATCTCGAAGTAGCAGTCCTTTCCCTGAGGTTATGTATAAGTAAACTGAAATTTGAGGAAATTTAGGTAACAGCCTCAGTCACATAACTGATGACTGGAGGTGGCAGGATTCACAACTGTATCCCATGTTTTAAATGTGTTTCCTTCAAAGCTCCTACCATAGAAGCATCTAGGACTGGAGAATAGAAGCCAACTGCTTATTCTGGCCCTAAGCAGCTGCCTAGCCTTGTCTCCAGGCCCCTGCTGTGTAGGCTGCCTTCCTGAAATTGCTTTTCTTTTCCAGTCAACCTCTTTAAGGCTTTCCCAGCCTTTATACCACTGTGAAACCTTTATTGACCTCACCAGCTGCAGAGATCTGTCCTTCTGTACACACTGTTCTGTCCATTTGGTGTTCGGTCATATGCTGTCTTGGGAGGTTTCTTGGTACTTTGTTATTGTTTTGGTTGCTATTTCTGAGTTCACTTTATAGGTCTGGGAATGCAGAGTCAGCTCTCAGGCCACAGCTGGGTTCCCTGTAAATGCTCTTTGTGCAGTTAAGGAGTATTATTCCTTCTTGCTGCATCATTTGTACTGTCATATTTAAGCTACAGTTTAAGCTTCTCTGTGTTTCAGATGAGAAGCTGGGGTTTTCCTTTTTACTCCTCTCCCCACTCTGTAATTAATTCATGATCTTTTTTTTTTTTTTTAAAGATTTATTTGCTTGTGCATACAGAATTTGGGTACAGGCCAGAGGTGCAGGGGCAATGAGAGGATTCACCAGAGACAGGGTGAGGAGCAGAGCAGGCAGAGAGACGAAGTACAATGCTGAGGGGAGCAGTAGGTGAGATGGAAAAGTCTGCTGCACCAGGTGGGTCATCTCCCTGGCCGGGGATTGAACTCAACACTGAAGCAGCTGCTCCAACCCGGTGCACCATCAGGGAGAGCCCTAATTCCTTATTCTTTTCAAAAGAAAATAACATAAAGTGTCAAGTTGTACTACAGGATTTTCTAGTGGATAAAAAAAGCAGCCCTAGACCCATTCCTCCCACTCATAAGTTCCTCCCCCCAGAGGCAGCCACTTTCCACTTCTTTAGCTATTTCTTCTGCTATTTCTCTATGGATTTCAAAAAAATACTGGCATGCCACTGTTTTTAGGTAATGCCTGCTTTTTGTCTGGCACTAATGCTCAACAGCCATTAGCTCTTTTAGTCTCAACAACCACTATGGAAGCACAAAGTCTTGTCTCTTTTTTTACAGATGAGGACACTTAGGCACAAAAAGTGTAAACAGCTCGCTCAACCTTACAATCATTGGTAGGTAGTAAAGAGTCAGGCTTTGAACCTAGTGTGATCTGGCTCCTGAAGCTGGGCTCTTCATACTATGCTGTCTTTCATAAACTCTTACAGCTTACATAGCTACTTTTCCAGTTCTTAATTTTAGACATTGTTAGTTAAACATAGGAGGTGAGTATTTAGTCTTCTCAGGATACCATCACTTTGGCTTCCTTTTCTTGCCCAGCTTCACAATATAGTTAGATTACAGTTTTCATTAAATTATTATTCTGTGTTTATACTGTTGTAACATTAAAAAATTCATTTAGTGCCATGCCAAATAATATCGTAAGATTCAGTCTTTTTTCTTATGTTTTCCCAATAGCTGATAATTGTATTTTTTTTATTGCTTACTCTTCTTTTTTTTTGAAGATTTATTAATTTATGCATATAAGAACTGGCTAGAACTGGGGTGTAAGCCAGGGGTGCAAGGTGTGAGAGGATTCACCAGAGACAGAGTGGGAAGCAGAACAGGCAGATCTACTGAAATACACTCCTGAGGGGAGCAGCAGGGACACAGGAGATGTCTGCTGTGCCGTGTGGGTCACCTCCCTGGCCGGGGGGTCAAATTTGGGATGGAATTCAATAAATTGATAGTGCTGAGAGTTTAAACCCTGCATAATCAAAGGAGACCCTAATTTTCTTACTCTCTTAGCAACTAAGTATCAGTCAGTAGTTAGATGTTTTCCCAAAACCCTTTCAGATACTGTAAGACTATATTTCTCTTTTTTCACTTAGTCAAATATGTCAGCTTTTTTATTTCCTTAGAAACCTAAGCCCTGGTACTTTTTAAGTCTTTCCTTTCTCAAAACATTCAGATTTATGAAGGTACAGTGTTACTACAGTAAATTTGCCCTTTCTGAATATGTGATTCTTAGACTTTTGACAGACTATATCCAGGTATGGATGGCTTCCATTAACCTACACAGGTCCCTCATGCCCTTTTGTAGTCAGTCCTTCTCTCCCTGGGCTCCAGGTAACTACTGATCTGAGATCTCTGCCTATATTTTGCCTTTTCTAGAGTTATATAAGTGGTGTTTCATAGCATGTGAGCTTTTATGTCTGGCTTCAAGTCTCTTTTTTTTATGAAGAATGATGATGATAACAATTATAGCTAGCATTTATTAGAGGCTTAGTAGGTACCACACACACTGTTAGATTCTTTCTGCAGGTTGGCTCATCATTTTTACATCTCACATTTAGAAATACAGTGCTTTCTTTAAAATGTGTATTTGGACCCTCTCTGGTGGCACAGTGGGTTAAAGCACAGCACTGTAAGCTGGCTGCAGCAGCTTCAGTGAATTTGATCCCCAGCCTGGAGGTGACCCACATGCGCGGCAGAGCTCTCCTGCCCACCCGCTGCTCCCCCCAGCAGTGTATTTCAGTACATCTGCTTGTTCTGCTCCCCACTCTGTCTTTGGTGAATCCTCTCACTGCCCCCCTACCCCCTCCCCCAACCTCTGGCCTGTGCCCCAGTTCTTGTATGCATAGATAAATAAATTTTTAAAAAAATAAAATGTGTAATTATACCAAATACTATTGAACATTGTGTTAAAATGTGATAGACATAGTAGAATCTTAAAAAGAGAACTTATTTCCTTTTTGCATGCATGCTCAAATACCAGAATGTGCTTCCATCTTTTTCCAGCTATGATCCTTACTCATGTTACAGGTTGCTTTATTTCTCATTCAGTGCCTCCCCCAGGGATTAGTACATAGTTTGTTCCAAAATATTTGTTGACTGAATTTGCAGGTAACTGGTGTATAGGAAGGGTGATGAAGTTTATTGAAGAGTGTTGATTAGAGGGGCTGGGGTGGAGTGTAGAGTTAAAGGCCTAGACAGAGGTGGGGGGCTCCAATGCTTCTCTTCCCTGCAGCCCTGTGTTTCCCGGGCTCTTTGAATTCTGCTCCCGTTACACAGGCGCATCTCTGCAAGGAGCAACCCAGCTGAACAACAAGGTAACGATAGCTCTGAATACCCTACCCCTTTCCTGTGGGTCCCTGGACTCAAGGTGCTAACCTTGATTCTGAGCCCCCAGTTCTGGGTGTGGGCAAGAGGAGGACTTGAGTTGGTATTTGTCTTGCAGATCTGTGATATTGCCATTAACTGGGCTGGTGGTCTGCATCATGCCAAAAAGTTTGAGGTGAGTGAGGAGGTGATGGGGAACCAATAACTTCCCTCTAGGGTAGGTGATTAGGTTGATGAAGGGACAGCTGGGTAGAGGAATTGTTCCCCTCTTTGTAAGACCTTTGTTTTCTTGCCATAGGCCTCGGGCTTCTGCTATGTCAATGACATTGTGATTGGCATCTTGGAGCTGCTCAAGTAAGTAGCCCTGGAGGAGATGGGGGACTTATGAGACTCTTGGCCCTGACCTTGAACTCTAACCCATGTAGCTTCTTCCCACTTCTTGGTACTTTTCTCAGGCTGCCTTTCCTGTGCTCTGCTGCAGATTTCCTAATGTCTTCTCACATTTCAGCAGTCTCCGCACATCCCTCTCCTATCCCTGCCTCTAGGCTGGAGCCCCAGGGTTGCCCTTAGGGAACTGGTGGTATAAGGTTTCATGTGACTGGGGCGGAAGCCTGCTCTAGATAACTGCAGACCTCGTGTTTGGGAAGAATGGGTTGGGGGTTGGGGTGTGCGGATGATTGTTGCTGGGGTTCACCTCTGCCTCAGACCGTGGCTTGCCCTCACTTCAGGTACCATCCTCGGGTGCTCTACATTGATATAGACATCCACCATGGTGACGGGGTTCAGGAAGCCTTCTACCTCACTGACCGGGTCATGACAGTGTCTTTCCACAAATATGGAAACTACTTCTTTCCTGGAACAGGTATGGGAATAAGGATGAACATCCTCTGCTTAATTCTGAGCTCTTTTCCTTGACTGTTTGCATTCACAGGAGCCTTTCCTGGAGACCAGCTAAGTAATCTCCTGCCCCATCACTCTGTCACATCACCCTTTTTGTTTCTCTCAGAACTCACTGCTATTTGTATTTTTTGAAGTTTTTAGACTTGTTCACTGTCTCCGCATCACATGCCCACCTCCCCGAGGTTATCAACTTGGTGGGATTTTATTGGTTTGTTGTCTTTACTGTTGCATCCCCAGTGCCTAGTATACAACTTGACTCTTCATGTGATTGCAACTTATGACTTCCTGGCTCTGGGGAGGGTGTGGTGGAGGTTGATAGAGTGAGAGGACCACAGTTGGATTGAAGGGTTTCCTTTGTGGCTGCCCCGTCTGCATGACTTTCAGTCCTTGCCGTCACTGCCTTGTAGGTGACATGTATGAAGTCGGAGCAGAGAGTGGCCGTTATTACTGTCTCAATGTGCCCCTGCGGGATGGCATTGATGACCAGAGTAAGTTCTGACGTTGTCTCCCTGTTCCCTCTGCCCCTTTTTTCTCTCCTTAAATTAACTTCTTTTGCCTGGTATTGTCTACTACTGGGCCAGGTATCCTTAAGGATGAATGGCCTTCAGGGAAACCATGAACCCCCTGGAAAATGTATGCAACATATTATGTATATGTGCATTTTTCTGGGAAAAGGGTTATTAGCTTTCATCAGTCACTCAAAAGGGTCTGAGACCCGCAGAAGTTCAGAACCAATGGTTTGGTTCTTTGGGTTACCCCTTTCCTGGGCTACATGCTCTCTCAACCCCATTTTCCCTTTTGTTCCCTGTCTCCCCATCCCCTTGGGGTGCCAGGTGCCCATCTTTGGCCCTCTCCCAGGTTACAAGCACCTTTTCCAGCCGGTTATCAACCAAGTGGTGGACTTCTACCAACCCACATGCATTGTGCTCCAGGTAATGCTGTCAGTACCTCCTCAAGAGGGAGGTACTGGGCTTGGGGGAAGAGAGCAGAAGAGCCCCAGGTTGGTGAGTAAAGGTCATTTGGGACCCCCTGAATGCTCATCTCATTGTGGTCAACGACGGTTTTACCTTTTTCAGTGTGGAGCTGACTCTCTGGGCTGTGATCGATTAGGCTGCTTCAACCTCAGCATTCGAGGCCATGGGTGAGACTTCCCTCTTCCCACTTCCCTAAGTTTTCAAGTGGCCTTGGGCCTCCCTTTGTGGAGTGGGGTGGTTAGTGAGTGGTCTCACCTCTTCTTGGGAATCGAAAATAGTTACAAATTGTACTTGACTTAGAACTGTCACCTCAGATAGGGTTTCCCCAGCTGACTGTTCATAATCAGTTTTTATTTTTTTTTTAAAGATTTATTTATTTACTCATACAGAACTGGGGTACAAGCCAGAGATGCAGTGGGTGAGAGGATTCACCAGAGACAGAGTGGGGAGCAGAACAGGCAGATTGAGGAAGTACACTGCTGAGGGGAGCAGCGGGCAGGTCAGGAGAGGTCTGCCTCACCATGTGGATCTCCTCTGGGGCAGGCGGGGATCGAACTCATGCCGAAGTGGCTTAAGCTTCTTAATGCAGTGCTTTAACCCGCTGTGCCACCAGGGAGGGCCCTATTTATTGAACATCTGTTATGTTCCAGGTTCTGTACTAAGAGGTGGTAAAATGGGATATGTACAGTTTAGTTTAGGAAACAGGTAAAACATAAGTAGGTTGTTATAAACCCTATAAAGAAAAATGATAGAAAAGTAAGATGCAGGATAACAGTGGGAAACTGACTTCATACAGCATAATTTGGGCAGGATTTCCTGAAGGGGTCATATTTAAGTAGAGACCTGGAGACTAAAAGGAGTAGCCAGAAGAAATGGAGAGAAGTCCATACAGAGCTGTGAGAAGAGCCCATGAAAAGACTCCGGGGCAGGGAAGAGCTGGTGTAGCAGAGATGAAATAGAATTAGTGAGGTGAGAACCCAGGGAGCAAGCTGGTAGGGCTTGAGGGGAGGTCTCAGGGCTTGAGACTAGGCTAACTTATATTCCAAATAGGATAGATTTCTTTTTTGGTATCACTTTTGTTTTTAAAGATTTATTTATTTATGCATACAAAACTGGGTATAGGCCAGAGGTGAGGAGCGGTGAGAGGATTCACCAGAGGCAGAGCGGGGAGCAGAACAGGCAGATGGACGAAGTACACTGCTGAGGGGAGCAGCGTGGGTCAGGAGAGGTCTGCTGCGCCCTGGCCAGGGATTGAACTCGTGCTGAAGCGGCTGCAGCAAGCTTCTTGGTGCTGTGCTTTAACCTGTTACACCACCATGGACGGCTTGGTATCACTTATTGAGGTTCAAAAAGGATGGAAATTACACAATCCAGCTGTTATTTTGAATCAAGTGTTCTCACTGCTGAATGGAGAAATATTTGGGAATGGGGAGTGGGAAATGGGCAGCAGGAAGACCAGTTTGGAAGCCATTGGTGGTATCTGGGTGGGGACATGCTGAAGGTGGAGGATGGGTGATGAAGAGCAGTGGATGATTTGAGTTGTATTTGGAGGCTAGAACTGCCAGAACTTGCTGATGCATTGCTGACAATAGTTGATTAATAGGTAGAGTGCCATGTGGTATGGGGTATTCAGTAGGGCAGAGGTAGGGGTGTACTTTATTTTAACATTTGTATTGAGACACAACATATGAAGTATATCTCAAGGATATAACTAAGTGAATTCACTTCTCAGTCAAGATGTACAATATTTCTAGTTTCCTTGTGTCCCATTTCAGGCAATATCTACATGTGTATTCTCTGACTGAGAAATTCCTCTGACATGTCTCTGGTTCCTTTTAACAGGGAATGCGTTGAATATGTTAAGAGCTTCAATATCCCTCTACTGGTGCTAGGTGGTGGTGGCTATACTGTTCGAAATGTTGCCCGTTGCTGGTGAGTCTACTCCCTGGTGCCCCTTCTCCCCGATGTCATTGTTGGCAGAGGTCTTCCTGAGGGATGGCCAGTTGGACCATTAGCTCTCTTCCTCAGCCTGCCCTCCCTGCTGGTTTGTTTCAGGACTTATGAGACATCACTGCTGGTAGAAGAGGCCATTAGTGAGGAGCTTCCTTATAGTGGTAAGGGCTGCCCCATGATAACCCACAGCAGGGAGGCTATCCTCACAGACCTGGCTATGATGCACTTGAAGGCAGAGGGGAAATTCGATGATATCTCAGAGCTCTGCAGACTAAACCCCTGGGCTCTGAGTAGAGGAGAGGTTGGGCAGCAGTTATGTGGGGATCTGAAGTGGGAAGGACTGACTAGAAAGTTTTGGGACATCAGTCTCCCTCCTTTGAGCCTTCTTCTAATACCCTCTTCTCCCCTCAGAATACTTTGAGTACTTTGCCCCGGACTTCACACTCCATCCAGATGTCAGCACTCGCATTGAGAATCAGAACTCACGCCAGGTTAGCAGCTCGGAGAAGCCAAGCAAAAGGGTGGGAGAACCTGGCAGAGATCCAGGATGTGGGAAAGCAGAAAAACCAGAGAAGAGAGGAAAGTTCTTAGCCATCACTGTCAGTGGGGAAGCAACCTAGTTCAGATAGAGACAGTCAGGGCTTGGAGGAAGGACAGTTACTACAATGGGGGATTTGAACTGGGATTAAAACTAGCACAGTATGAGTAAAAGGCAGCTAGAAACATGAATATTCTGCTAGATGTGTATTCTCTTCATTCCCAACCAGTACCTGGATCAGATCCGTCAGACAATCTTTGAAAACCTGAAGATGCTGAACCATGCACCTAGTGTCCAGATTCATGATGTGCCTGCAGACCTCCTGACTTACGAAAGGACAGATGAGGCTGATGCAGAGGAGAGGGGTCCTGAGGAGAACTACAGCAGGTCTGGGGGCAGGGACTTGAGCGCAGGGAGTTCCAGTAGCTTTGTTAGAGAAGTTGAAAGGGAAAAAGTAAATTGGAGGGCATTAGCTTAGTTGTCTCTGGCTTTCTGCCCACTCTTTGGTCACCTGCTTTCATTTTTTGTACCTTTTTTTTTTTTTAAAGATTTATTTATTTATGCATACAGACCTGGGGTATAGGCCAGAGGTGCAAGGGTGGTGAGAGGATTCACCAGACAGAGTGGAGAGCAGAACAGGCTGAATGACAAAGTACACTGCTAAGGGGAGCAGTGGACAGGTCAGGAGAGGTCTGCTGTGTCATGTGGGTCACTCCTTGGCTAGGGATTGAACTCATCCTGAAGTGGCTTTAGCTTTTTAGTGCTGTGCTTTAATCCACTGCACCACCAGGGAGGGCCCTTCCTGTACCTTTTTTAATGACATCAGTAACATGCTTACCATAAAAATTTTAAACAATACTAACATATGTTAAGTTCACTTTCATACAAACTTTGACCCGGTCCACAAAGTAAACACTAAGAGCACTTTAATTTATATCACTGTAGAGAGACATTTTTCGATGGGGTACATGTAGACTGTTCAGTATGCTTGCATAAATGCAGGTGCAGTTCTATACTCATTCTCATATTTGGCTGTTTGTGCAGCTTTTGTTATACAATTTGATCATTTTATGCATGTTGCTCTACAAGTTACAATTTGTTCTTTTTTTATTGGAAATGATGTACCTTTCCATGTCAGCATGCTTTCTTTTTATCAGCTGTATAATATTCCACTATGTGAATGTAGTATCATTTAACCAGTTACCATAGATGAGCATTTACAGTATTTCCCACTTTCTCACTGTTACAAAGCATTTGGTAGTGATCCCCTAAGAAATACCGAAATACCTTTTTGCATGCTTGTGTGGGTAGGTTAGATTCCTAAAATTTGCTGACAAATTGTCTTCCAAATGTCTGTAACAATTTACATTTTTGCCAGCATTTTACTCCTTCCTGGTCTTGAGCTGGCTCCTGCCTGTATGCTATTCTGCTTTTCTCTAAGGCCCTTTGATTTCTCTGTCAATTTTTTTATGTGTGATCATTGTATTGTGCATTTTCCCACCTTTAGCCCTTATCTTTGTGAGGTATACACTAAAATATTCACAGATGCATTGAATTAGGGGAAAAAGAGTAGGATAGCATTTCCTTCATCTCCAGATATGCTTTTCTGAAAACTGAAAACACAGCAGAACCCAGAAGTACAGAAACAGATACACTTAATAGAGAGCAGCTTTCCTCACATGGTGGGAGGATAACCACAGTGCACACTTGCAGGACACCTGCTCCTGCTCTCATGCAGGGCTAGAGGTTCGAGCTGGTTTGCTGCAGAGTCTGATACACTTTTCAGTGCCTTCCAGAATAGAGTCTGCTTGTCTGTCTTGGAGCTTGGGCTTTTAGGTCTCTCCTCTGGGATTTACTGCTGTGACCTTGGGACCCTTGCAACACTTCTCCATGTACAGCCCCTCTTTCCCATTCCTGGTTTGGGAGGTATCTGCATACCTGGCCTCAGGAATTCCTTTTTGATCTAGCCTGTCTTTCTTTAACTTGTCCAGGCTCTGAGGTTTGACTTCTGGAAAGAGATTTTTTTTTCTGTCTTACAATTTCCTGTTAGCAAAGTTTAATTTTTTCATTTCTAGTTCCACTCTGGGCCTTGTTTCTGCATTACACCACCCCCTTTCAACAGCCAGCAGAAGCCTCAGGCCTCTTCCTATCCTGTGCTGAAGCTCACTGTCAGACCACCCACTGAGTTCCTGTTCTTTGATGGCTGGGGTTCCAGCTCTCATATCATTTGCAGAGTAGTAATAACAATAGTTACTATTTTTTTGTGGGTTTGCTAAGCACCAGATTCAGTACTAAATACTCTATATTACAACATGCGTATCATCATGTCATCATTCTCTTCCCATCAGACAACCCTAAAAGCTGGTTGTTATCCATAAATTACCAGAAGAGGACTCTTAAGTAACTTTCCTAAGGTCTTTTAGCCAGTAAAATATCAGGGCTGACATTCAAAAATTGATCTCTGATGCCACACCTTTAACCCATGTGTGTACTTAGAGGCAACCAAGACATTGCTCACCAGGCAGACGTCTCCCTTTTTAGTTCCCCAGCTTCTTTGTCATGACTTTCTCCATTCTTCCTGACTATCGACTGTGGGTGAGATAATTCAGTTATCACTTACTCATATTCTCCCAGAAAGTAGTCTTCCATAAAGAAACCAGTGTGGAATACTTACCAAGCCCTGTGTTGTTTTCACATCCCTTTGCTTATCACAGGGTTACTATTTGTTGCTCCTCTGCCCTAATGCTCTCCTTCCTGTTGCATTTAGGAGGAAATACAAATTTCTGACCATGACTGAAAAGATCACATATGCCAGCTCTTATCTACAACCCTAGTCTCCCCTCCACCCTCCTGCGTGCATACTACTCCCAGCGTCCTGGCCGCCATGCTCTTACTGGGCTGCATCAGCTTCCCGGCGTCCTGGCCGCCATGCTCTTACTGGGCTGCATCAGCTTCCTTCCACCTTATAACTTCTGTTTTTGGTTTTCTTGCAGCTTGGTATGGTCTTATTGAGATCTTGGCCTGGCAGCTACTACTCAGACTTAAGTTTTCACCTTAGAACAACTTTCCTTAATAATCCTGTATGAAATTCTCCCCTTTTCTTCCTTTCACTCTTAGTTACATCCCATTTGTTTCATTGTATTCACAGCACTTTCCACCATCTGTAATTATATTTATTTACTTGTTAGCTGTGGTCAGCTTCATTTGTGTGGTAAGTTTTTGAGGATAGGCAGAAATCTCGTGTGGCTTGTTCTTTACTGTTCTGCTAAGGCCTACAAGGAGGTCTCTCAGTCACTGTGTTAAGTGCATGAATAGATGAATAAATGGTGATTAGTTTTAGAATATAGGAGCCAAGTGGCTTCCTGAGAAAGAACACCTGAGAAGTGATTCCAGAGAGGGCACCAGTATGGGGGAAGTTTGGGACTTAGAAAGTGGGACCTTAACTTCTCTCTCCTTTCTTTGCAGGCCAGAGGCACCCAATGAGTTCTATGATGGAGACCATGACAATGACAAAGAAAGTGATGTGGAGATTTAAGAATAGCTGGACTTCCTGCATCCCAGAAAAGTTCTTTTTACCTCTTGGTTAGGCGGGAAGGAAAAGGTGTGGCTGGCACCTTCAGCACATTTATCAACATGGGGGAAGGTTTTGGAGACCATATTTGGTTCTAACAAACTACTGCCTTCCCTCTCCCTCCCAAGGCCTGACATTGGTACCTATTAGGGATTGGATAGGGACAAGGATGTTGTCCCTACTACATCTTAGGCAGTGGGCCTTAGAAATGAGTCCCTAGCCCTTCTTTTCTTCCTTCATGCTCCCCTCCAACCCTGAGACTTTTAGGGATGAACAGGTAGACAGAAATGAAGTTGTCTTTGACTTCATCCTCTCCTGGATTCAGCTTTGGGGGTCTTGCTTCCAGTGCAGGTGAAGAATGAGGGATTTTAGGAGACATCGGCTCCCTTAACCCCAGATGATGGGAAGTATAGTTTTGAGTGGGAGAGGAATGTGAAAATGTCCTCTTGTAACTTTTGACTTTATGTCCATTTTACCACTGTTTTTACCCAATAAACCAAGTTGGTATTTTTTGTACTTTTTGCCTTTCTGATAATGTTCTTAATTCTTGCCTCTGTATAGAGGGAAAGGAAATAGGGATGATAATATATATACATACATATAATAAAAATAATAATTAACATTCACTTAACACGTAAGTCTTATATTAGGCCCTGTGTATATATTCCACATGAATTATCTTACTCATACATAGAGAGTTAATAGAGCATTTGGTTCACAGACAAACCTGGGCAGATGAACTTAAGAGAGGGAATAAAAGATGACTTGAGTTTTCTAAGCTTGGGTGTTTGGAGTGGAGATTTTAGTTGGTGAAGGTATGCTGAATAAAACAGCAAGTGTTTAGTACAGTGTCTGATATAAATAGTTGCCAGTTGTCTAAATTGTCTATGAAAATGAATGCTAGAAACTGTAGTAGCCACAAACACAGAGGCTTTCCTGGAGGAGTTTATAATCTAGTGAAGACTGAGAAATGCTACAGCAGTTGGAGATGGTGGTGTCAGGCAGAATAAAAGATGGGTCACACCTTCCATGCTTTGATCCTGTTTGTATTTCAGCATCCCTGTTTAGAAAGTAAGTGGCTTTTGAATTATTTTGGACAAATCAAGCTTAAAATGTGGAATGGACAGCTTTCTGTCAGGCAATTCGAAGGTGGGACACATGAGATGAAGGTGAAATTGAGGAGCGTGCCAGTTTGACAGAGCCCCTGTCACTCTCAGGCACTGGACCGAAGGCTCCAGAGTGAGGAAATCACTGCCTTCAAGGAACATCCATTGAAAATCTTGTGCAGCTGCAGGCAAGATAGTTCTGTGTGTACTGTGAGATCTGACTGGGTGCCATGTGCTTTTAACACAAGACAGATGTAGCTGGATGGTTGAAATTACTCAGAATTTTTTTTTTAAATATTTATGCATATAAGAGCTGGGGTGTAGGCCAGAGGTGCAAGGAGAGCAGGGTGGTAAGAGGGCTCACCAGAGACAGAGTGAAATATACTGCTGAGGGGAGCAGTGGGCAAGACAGGAGAAGTCCAATGGGACATGTGGGTCAGCACCCTGGCCAGGCGTCAAACTCCTATTACATTGCCTGCCAATAGCCTCATAGTGCTGAAGCTGAGACTTACTTAACCCCTTGCACCACAGGGAGGCCCTATTCAGGGAGAATTTAAGCTAGTAAAGCAAAAAACATGTTCTTGGAGAACACATGGTCTTTTTTTCTCGTATTTTGGTTTGTCAGGGAAGCCTGGTTAAACAGGGCTTGGCACTCAGACCAACATAGATTTGAATTTTTTTATTAGGTAGACTTGGGCAAGTCATTTCAACTTGTCCAACTCTTCAAGTCCCTATTTTCTATCTGTAAAATGGTGAGACCAGTGGGATCTGTCACATGGCATTGTGAGGACTGAGTGAGGAAACACATGTAGAATATTAGGCACAGCTCCCCGCATAGTGCAACCACATGTAAATGGTTAAGTACTGTGTTGGCATGTGTTGGCCACAACTAGTTTTTGCATGTTAGAAACATAACTAGAAAATAGCCAACCTGGGATTCAAAACCAGGTGATTTAATTCCAGAGCTGGTCCAGGTACAGTTTAGCACCTCCCCAGGTCCAAGCTCTGTTCTTGGCAAGTAGCTTTCAGTAAAGGGTAGCTGTCATTTTTATCTTTTCATTCATTCTACCGGTGTTACACACATAAAAATGATTGTCCTGGAAAACCCACCATTAAATTTTCTGCCGCGATAACATTCTCAGGTTGTTTTTGGTTCAGGTGCTTTTGGTTCAGGGGTCTGGGACTTGAGTGGGTTCGGGCTTTACAGCCATGTGCGCGCTGCGTGGGAGAGGCGGAACCTTCGCCGCTCCAACAGGCAGGGGGCGCTGTTTCCGCTTGCGGCTGCGAAGAGCTGCTTCGCCCACTCGCCACCCCCCCCTTGCGTGTCCGAATGGTTAGGCCCGCCGGGCAGGTAGCGCGCTCGGTTGGCTTTTTTCCACTCCCCTCCCTTCCCCCATTGGTTGGGACTGCGGGTCCGGGCGGAAGTGGGGCAGGACAGCGGGAGCGAGGCGTCGCCGTTGTGTGTTCACGAGGCGCGCGCAGCCGGCATGCTAATGAGGCGGGGCGCGGCGGCGGGCTGAGGAGCTGCTGGGCGGCGGCGGCGGCGACCGCGGCCGCTGGAGTCCGGCAGGCGCGGGGCACCTTTCACCCCCTGCCCTGGGTATCTGTCTCTCCGCGCTTCCCTTCCCCAGCGTTCCACCGCATCCCCCCGCCCGCGCGGGTGTCATTCCTCACCGCTGAGTGACAGCCCCGGGCCACGCCCCCTGGGGGGGCTGTCCCGGCGCTCCCGGCCGCCCATTGGCTGGCAACAGCTGGGCGACGTTGACTTGAACTGACAAAACTGGGCACGTCGCGCCGAGAAAGTTAGGGTCTGGCTTAACCCCTTCGCTGCCCAGCCTGGTCGTCAGAGCCGCCGCCAGCAGCTCGGGGCTTCGCGCACCTAGTCACGCTGCCCGAGCAGCCGCGTTCGTCACCTCTGCGGACGGACCCCACCGCTCGGCGCGGTTACGGGACGGGACGCTCAGCTGACGGCGAGATAGCGCTGTCCCCTACACGCTGCTGGCGTCTGTTCTTTGGGTAGACTCCTGGGCACGAAGAACAAAATCGTGTATTTTTCTCCTGAGTGTCGCAGTTTCTCCACTGCTTGCTTATTCTTTTCCCTTGAATAATCGGTTGATTAAAATCACCCTAGCAGTGTTTTTCTTTCCTCACCGTGTTGGATTTGTTCGCGTTCTATGGAGGAAAGAAGGAGGGGAAGGTGGTGCAGTGACAAGTCCAGTCAGACGAGAAACTGGCTCTTTGAGAGGTTTCTGGAAATTGCCTGCTCCTTCCCCTGGGTGATCAAGACCGGCTTTCATGGGAATTTGCTCAATTTGACACATTCGATTTGATTTTCAGATCTTCTGTTACGTGGGAGAATATGGGCTAGAGGAATATGTTTGTTTAAATCGTATCTGGGTTTGACCACATAAGGATCACGAACTATCCCACGTTCTTACAAAAACAAGAGGTGCACTGCTTTGTGCAACAGAAGGAGCCCGCACTAAGATGCACAAGTACTGTGACGATAGCAAAACAGTTATTATTTGTGTTTCAGTGGGGAAAAAAATGCCCAGGGAGCATGCTTTGCTGTCACCCATAAATTTTACCAGAAGTTTAACTTAACACCAACGAGACAACTTTCGCCATTAAATAAATGTCAAGGGCTGTGATTACAGTTCAGTAAATTGCTGGGGTTGATATTTTCGGTGTCAGTAAAATAAATACCATTTCTCGGGGTTGATTTCTTGTGTTGTTCTTGTTCTGACGAAGTGCGTCTGCTCCGTCCACAGCCTTCGGCCCAGAGGGGGGTGCAATATCTCTCCACTCCGCAGGATGCCCCCTCCCCGCCCCCCCAACTTCTCTGCCTCCAAGCATCCCACAGGGTCTGCACCGGGGGTATTTGGGGAAAGAAAAGCCTCATGCTTGAAGAGGTCATTGCCCTTTCTACCTGTCTACAAGGACGTCAGTTGGGAGAAAAGGAGTCAGAATTTGGTGTGGGACCGGAGTAAGGGACGAACGTTCTCGGGGCAGGGGCTTGGGGGGCGCACCCAGGTGACTACTCTTCACCAGGTTGCAAAAGAAAACGTGTCCTTTCCTTCCTCCCGCTGACCTGTATTTGTTCTCTAAATTACCCTTCTCCGCCTCCCGAGGGAATGCGTCGTTCTCTGGGGCGCGTGGAAGAGAACACAGACGTGGACACTGGAAGGTGAGAGCCGACAGCGAGGCGCGGCCACACGCCAGCCCTTCCTGGGCCCAGGACATGGCGTGGGCTAATAATCCGGTGTGTCTGGGCACACAGACCGGCAGCGGTGTTTGGGGGTTAATGACCGAGAGGGACAGTAAGGTTGAGGTCATACAAACACTTGAAAAGAATAAGTACCGTTCTCCCCCGGCCCCTCCTTCTTTAAACGAAGCCCACATCGTAGGGGCTCTGGCCCTGGCTGC